CGCCTATACCGCCTACGGGTCTGTTTCCACCTCCGTCCGCGAGCGACGGTCTCCCTTGCTCCTGGGGGCTGATCGACCGCGTTGCTTTCATCGTCCGAGAGTTTCCTCGAAGTACCAAACCTTCCCTTCCTCCACCTCTCACTATCTCGCGCGTTCCATTTAGGCTCGCCCTTCGCCTTAGGCCTCTACGTCCTACATCGTAGCCCTCCTCGTAGAGAACGCAGGCCCTCCTGCTGCTCCAAGCACGAGACAGCCAAGATATATATTTTCGTCGGCGGATTTATGCGGGGGTGGACCTTGCAAACGGAATATCACGTGCTGTAATATCGAATGTACGAACGCAGCCGCGTGGAATGCACAGAGGAGGATGACAAAGAGAGACATGCCAGGCGGTGACCCGCGTGCGTGTGCATTCCCATTTCGGACATAGCAAATTCTACCGCATTCGAACGTTGTATCTGCCTTTCGCGCATGTATACATTCGCGTAACACGCGCATTGTACAAGACGACATGCTCATTCCCTTCCCACAATGAGACAGGCATGATCATCTTCCCACGATAAGATTTAAAGTAACAACCATAAAATAATGAGAAGCTTAATCGTCTCTTATAGTTCGTCTATAATGGAGATAATATTGTGTATATCAAGTAGTAAGCTGTAAGAAAACCAACCAATCGTAATTTATTATTCTTTTCACATTCGACTGTAATGCACTTTTAAATTCATAATGTCAAATTATACTGAATTTGAATTATTTGTATAAATTATATCTATATAAGTCACTTGCTTCTACTCAATATAATAATAATAATAAACTTTATATTAACGTACCAAAAAAATATAAGTTTACAGACATGGTACACAATGTAATTCTAGAGCGGCATCCCAAAAGATGAGGCAAAGTGCTGCTTATATACATCTAAACCTTGATAAAGGTTTTATAACAAAAATAAACGATATATAACAGTGAATAACGAGTTTTACTGTTATAAAAATAATACCGCAACATAATGAAAAACAAAAGTATGAGAAAATGAAAGAAAAATAAGATATAAAGTACTAATATTATATTAGACGTAATAATATTATATTAAACATAATAATATTATATTAAACGTGCTAATATTATATTAAAAATGAGAAGTTATGTAGAAAGAAGCTGCTGATCTGAACGTGAAAGTGAGATATGAGAGAACAAACATCATTAAATAATAGGTTGAAATGTTTACAACATAAAATAAGGCAGACTGAAATTGGTTATACGATGAAGAGGATAAGATAGAGATGATTAGAAACGTATACAGACGTGATAAAGAAAAATGAAATTTCTTATTGAAGTGATTATGAGGTCAATATGTCGTTAATTTGAACAATGGGGTTAAGCATTTAACCCAAGAAAATATATTAAATTTAACTGAAATTATTGTATATATAATTTAATTTGTTATTTATTAAGCTCATATTTTCTAAAATCTTTGGAGTGGAATTTAATTCTAAAAAGTAAAATCTCACTGTTAAAAATTGAGCCAATCTTTATCAACACTAGCTCAATTATCATTCCTTGTCGCTTTTTAGAATTAGATTCTATTCCAAAGATTTTGCAGGATATGTTAATATGAATGATGTTTACTTTGAGACTAATCACAGAAATGGATTGATTTACATTTCGACACAGAAGTTAAATATAACAAAATGTTATTTCACTCGAGAGATTAGGTTACCATTGCCCTCTTAATCTAACAGTATGGGTTCATTTCTTACGGCTTATGACTTACTACGTCATATTACTCTCATTGTAGATAGCCCTTTAAGTCGCGCACACGAGGTATCTTACTTCATCATCGAGTCGCTCGCGCGCAACAATTTGTCATCGCATGCGTATTCCCAAGGCTAATTTACGATGCGTTGGAATAGGAGAGAGAGAGAAAGAGAGAGAGAGAGAGAGAGAGAGAGAGAGAGAGAAAGAGAGAGAAAGAGAGAGTCGCCACTGTACTCAGGGACTCGCCGAGATAAATTACTTTCGCACGCCTAGGTGTAACGTATCGTCTACCTTACCAAGAGCGTTTCTTTCATCATGACGCGCAAAGAGTTCCGCGACTCCTTATGCGAAGCACAAGACAGAGTATAAGGAAAAGGAGTAAATCCGCGCCAAAGGTGACGTCGTATAGTAGCTGCGACATTCAGCGTAATGTACTTTCTCAACGCCGGGTCACAACGAGCAAAAAGAGCAACGAAATGGAGAACGACCATCCAGCGCAAATGCACGTACATACGCACACAAACACCTCGCCTCGAACCTCTGGCACGGCTTGTCGCCGCCTGTTGCTGTGAACACGAATTGCTTGCAGTGCGACATTTCCGTTAAGACGGTGATTTTGTTTCAAGCGTTGCGCTGGAATCAATCGGATCCGTCACGATTGATTGAGAGACGGAGGGAACGCATGTCGAATAATTCCTCTTTTCTTACTGCTTACTCATCCGTCGTTTCACGTGCGATACGCTATTCTCGCTCGGTTTCATTTCTCCGTGAAAGTTCCTCCCGCTGGAATAACACGCGGCGAGATATGTATTTTCAAGCACGTCTTAAGCTTAGTTTTTCATTATCTGGTTAACTTATGATTTAGACTTAACTTCACTTTACCTCTGATAATAATGCAAAAATTGTGATTTTCTAACTGTGATTAATTACTAAACTAATGATTTTCTAGTGGTAACTTTAAGATCAGGTTCTTCATTTGCAAAAATTGTACTTTTCTATCTAATAATTAATTTTTAATTATTACTAAGCTGATAGTTTTGTAATGAATAACTTTTAAAGATATTACTTAGAAAAAGATGAAAAGTTGGTGACCGATTTTTAAACCGAGATTAACATTAAACTATGTTGGTAGAAATGGACATTTAACGGATAATAAACCGGGCCTAAAAGTTGTTCACTACAAATCATCAATTTAGTGATAAACCATAGATAGAAAAATACAATTTTTATATTAATATCAGGTTAAGCCTAACTACAGTTAACTAGAAAATAAAAAAAATCGGGCATTAAAATGGAGGAGAAAACAATGCACCGAATGCGAGTTTAAAACATGTCTTCGGAGCTTCGGGTTTATTTAGATCAATGGTGGATTAACGAGCTATTGCTTGGCCAGAGTACTCGCTCGAGACTCCTAAGCGCCTGCCTTGGGCAATTAATTTCCTAGCTATCTTAGCTTAACTCGAAGCGAAACTGTAAACTATTACTGCTTGAGCATAAGAAAAAATAAACCGGTAATCGCAGGGGTTAATCGCTGGCAAATTATGGAGAGGAAAGACACGGAGCGGGAATAAATCGCAGCGTATCTCTTTCACGAGATGCTTTTTCATCGAAAAAATATTTATTTAACTATTTTTATCCATGATGTTTCTGGTCATTATGGCCGGTCGATTGGACATTTTCCGCTAGGTCGAACGAATGCGCCATTAAGACTATTAACGCATATTAGGTGCAATGTAACGATCACTGTTCCACGAAGTAATTCTCATGAAAAAAAAGATTGCGTAACGCGCAATCTCGTTGGCGATTTTCTACGTCGAAGATGAGTCTACAAGAATAAAGTGAGGAAGGTTTCTTTTTTATATCACATACTATTCTATCGCGACTGTTACGGCAACGTTATTAACTTTCGCTGCATCAAAAAGCAAACTTGTAATCTACGTACAGCTAAAATACAACGAAGATAAGTCTATAAGAATAAAATGTAGGTCTTCTTTATCAATTAAGAGAAATAAATCTATTTTTTGTCAAAGGACAAAGCGGATCTTAGTGCTTCATCATGTGAATTTATATATACGTATCCAATTGCAAATAGCACGTCGAAATCTTTTTCGGTCTTGAAACGCAATTATGAACAGAACTAGAGTAATGTCATATTAAATTGCAATTTAATAATTTTGATTTTTAAGAATCTTAGAAGAATATTGATAATTTGATATTAATCTAAGCATCTTCAGAATTGTAAATAATTCAATTTACTAAAATATTAACTCAGTTGAAATTCAAACTCGGATCTCTCATATTTATTTCATCAGAATCGAGTTTCTTCACTAGACTTTGGCAATATTTGTCGCAATAAATATTATAATGAGAGAAATGTCGTTCTTCAATATCTTTTTTGTATATACACCACATTATATTTACTGTTCTATCACGACTGTTATGGCAACGTCATTAACTCTCGCCACATCGAAGAACAGACTTGTAATCCGCGTATAGCTAAACGCCAAAGGCCATCAGTGGCTTCTTGCAACAGTGACTACCGACAACTCGGGTTTCTCAAAGCCCAACCGGACTCGCCGCCTCTCGACCGCGTTTATTTCGTTAATGAGAGGGCGAATGGGCGGGTGGACTAATGAGGCCGTGCCTCACGCCACGACGCGCCGAATATCGACGAGGACGACAGAGAGATACGCGACAGCGAATAGATGGTGCAATGGATATAGATACACGTGATCTGCTCCTAACTCTAACCCGCGATGTTCCCTCTCCCGCAATGTCAGTCGGCCCTCGGTGAGTTACGAGGGCTTGGAAATGGACATCCATACCGGTCCCCTGGCTAACAGCACAGCTGCATAACGTGGCGTTAACCGATGCGAGAATCACTCAGTGATCCCCGATAACACCGTACACGGTGCAACGATACGATTCGGGAAACATATGAAACGATGGAAATAGCGATGCTATTTCAAAAATGGTCGATGTAGAAAGCCCTGGCAATTTCGAACATCGGTCCGGCACATAGAACAACAAATAACGAGCTTACCCGGCTAATTGAAGTTTCTAAAGAAGCTTCCGGTGAAGCTTGGAGATACTAAATACCGAAGTAACTCGTAATTCGATAGTATCCTTGAAGCACAGACATACCGACCTCATTTTAAAATCAACCTAATACCGTAGTACCGCGCTGTAATTTATTAAAGCGTTCTTCAAACAGTCAGCGTAAACAAGAATATATTTACCTTCTTCAGATCCTTACTGGCATCGGCATCTTCAGCTTTTCGCTTCTCGGTAATTTTCGGCGCGGGGACCGCCACCGCCGCCTCTCGCAAGGGTTTCAAATCGACCTGTAACGAAAATAAGTAAACCTCATCATTTTCCATTGTTATTCATTCCACTGCTTCCTCTAGTCATACCGGCCAAGTGCTCTAGTCAGACTGGCTAAAATAACACGTTGACGTGACCTTAATTTTCTAAATATCGGTCGTCTTCATCTAACTATTGCGCAAACTGAGACGGCTAAAGTAAATCTGCGATGAATTAACGGATCGCGCGATGTCCATCGGATACAATGGACACCGACAAGGCATCATCGACCATTGTGCATCCGGATGTTGTTGCCGTTGATGTTGCCGCAGGCGCAAGAGCGAGCACGCGGTAAAGGCACGGCATAGCATCGATTTATGGTAATTCAGTTAACTCGTCTCTATTTTACGCGTGCGTTTACGTTCCACATACTAATCCGGCGTTAATGGGACGAGTAAATACAGAGAGAGAGAGAGAGAGAGAGAGAGCAGTTTCCCCCACGAGTCCGGCGAGCTTGATTTGGTGCTTGATATAATTCGACACCACTATGCATGGTCGGTTAATGACTATCCCTTCGCATCGATTCGCGAAAGGATAGGCGGGACGCATGGAAGGACAATTAATCGATTAGATATTTATCAAATCTTGATCGGTATCGTGAATATCGGTAATATGAGCTTCAGAAATCCGCTCTAAACGCGATATCGATGTAGGTAGGCAACGCCTGAATTAGTAACCGTCTCGCGCTTTCGTTTTAGCATATACATAATTTAGTTTTCCTAATTAACTTAAACGACGAACGTGAAGTGTGCTCTTTTCAGCTCCATTTTCTTACGCTTCCTGCATTTAAAGCGAAACAAGACGAATACTCTGAGCTTGAAAGAAGAACAGAAGGATGGAAGAGGAACAAAAAGATTCAAGGTAATTGCAGAAAGTACAGCTAAAACTAAAAGACTTATGGTGTACGTGGAGGAATTTTAGAATCCATGCCTCCAAATTTCCTCCGGAAATGTAGATGCAGTTCAACTGAAGGTCAACACAATTACGCAATCGAGTGTCCCGCCATTTGCATAACGAGGAATTAACGGGATTACGTCGCGCGTTCTATTACCCACCGGTAAGCCTGTCACCAAGAGAGATATCTGAATTATAGAGAAAAACTTTTACAATTCTAAATTGCAAATATGAGTCGGTGGAAAAAAAGAAAATAACAATGTTAAAGTAGGACGGAAATGTATACGCAAATTAAATCGCAACTCAAATGTTTCAAAAAAACATGGAATTTTAATTGACATTAATATTAATTGACGCTTAGTCCGTTTTACTTGTCTCCAAAAATTGTTGTGCTTAAAACGAGATAAAAATAATACGTATTCGAATAGTGGAAAAAGAGAAAGCATATGATTTTAAATGTAAAAGATACAATTGCATGAACAAACCTTCGTAAATTTGGACGTCACAGGCCCGATTACACCACGATTAATTTTATATAATTTTCATTTAATTTATTCTTTATCTGTTTCTAATTTTAGGACGCTTATCAGCATCAGACTATTAAGCTATCTCTAAGCATCAATATTATTAAATTGCTTGTAAATTAATATTATTACTTTAGTTCTGTTAGAATTATGTTTCAAGATTAAAAATTAAATTCAGCGCGCAGTTTGCAGAATTGGATATGGTGATGTAAATTCACACCGAAGATCCAGCTTGATCATTTATCAGGGTTTTTTTATTTCCTTATTTATTGTATATTCACATTACAATCTTAAAGGATACTTTGTTTAATAAATAGTCAGTTAAATCGAGATTAAAGTTAATTTTACATTAGTGAAACCGGGTCACAGGAAATTAAAAAAATATTTTGCTGTGGTATTATAGTGGTATCGTGGTCCATCAAGTTCTGCGGCTTATTACGAAATTCGCTGCGAATGTGTGAATCGAGAGCAGTTTTACATCACACCAGCATGCGGTCGACAAATGACGAGCGCACAAATCCGAATGACCGGTCGGACAAACTATGGTCTGCATGGCCGACATATCGTATCGAAATCGAAAGACCGATCGGACACACGGGTGTTGTTACGCAAACGTATCGCGGCACATTCGGTGCGAATGAGGCTTTAGGGTCGCTAGGGTCGCCCCTGACAACGCCCTTGCCTGCATTGCGGTAGCTCTTTCTCTCCACCCTGGCGATATCCTTCCACCATAACGCCCGAGAAAATGCCCTATGGAAAAGGAAGTAGATTTTCGCGTTCTTGTGGCACAGTCCCTTTTTTAAATCGTGAACGATTAACTCAACTGGTGACGTGGATCAATTAGATCCATATCAAATTTTACTTATAAGAAAACTTTGCTTACAAGACAAATTTTACTGCTTACTAGAAAAAAAAATCCATGGAAGTAGCTCCCTGAGATTTTAGTGAGCTTTGAATATGTTGTTTTCTAGGCAAAAATAAGGAATAAGTATCTTTTTGTAAGGGCCCAATCATACTTTTAGGGAGTGTAATACCTTGAAGAAAATTTTTTCGAAGCGAGTATCGTCGAAAACTGTAAGAGAGGATAGAATAAAATGTTTTGAATAAAAATTGAATGATTTATAATAAAGTACTTTATAATTGTAATTTAAAAAAAAATTGTTTTAATAAAAAAATTTTATTTATAAAAAATAAAAGTTAAAAAAATTTTTAATTATAATTATTATATATATATAAATGTTTTTAGAACTATTTAACTTTTATTTCAAACACTTTTTCTATCTCTTACAGTTTCGACAATATTTGTTTTAAAAAACAACTAATTTTCTTCAAAGAGGTATTGCAAACATCTAAAAGTGCAATTATTAGGCCCTAATAAAAAAATATGTGTCTTTTACTTTTTTTCTAGAAAATAACATATTAATTAATTAATTTAATTAAATTAATTTAATATTCAAAGCTCATCAAAATTGGAGAGCGACACTCCCATAAGTTTCCTTGTTAGTAGAAAATTTATTAACTAGTAGGTACTTTAAATGAAAATTAATACAATGCTGATTATTATATTAGTTTTGATTGAAAACAGGTAAATGAGAGCTCAAACATCAAAAAGATATAATAAAAGTGTTTTCAAGATTAATCAGTTCCATTTTTTAATCTTTGAAAGATAATCTTTGAATAGTAAGGGATCCACGACGTTAGAAGTGTGACATTTTTTCACGACACCAGTTAAGGGTTAAACAATTCGCGAAGTATCTCGCGAAATGCACAAAAAAATGAGATGCCGACTCTCGCGTCGAGACGCGAACACTTCTAATTTATGTTTGTCTGTAGGTATCTTTCACGTTTCGCGCTTTGATTACGGAATTAGCTTGGGCCACGCCGCGACTTGTCTCCCTTAAAATAGCCGAAAACGCGGCAAACAAGACTCGAAAGATCTCATTTTCACGGTACGTGATTGCGTCTCACGTGTATATATAATATGCACATATACTCGTATGTGCGAACACAGTCATATAGTGATAGGTTGAAAAGTTTTTTCTATATGTACGAGACAAAAAAGAACGATGAATAACCCGACAGCCTCCCTTCCATTATGGTCTGTAATTCTGTAGAGTGATCCACTAATTCTCCATCACACTTTTAACAATTAGATCCCTCGTGAAAATATAATACCTATTAATTTGCTCTCGGGAAAATTTCGAGAGATTAACTGCGAAAGTATTTATCATGGAAAAACTGATTTGAAATGAACTTGACAAGAAGCACGAGTTACATAATAATGATGTGATGAGAAGTTTATATTATATGGCTGTGTTTATCGACTTAAATCTTATGAAGAAGACGATTTCCGAGGTAAACCGACGCTGTGAACATCTCGTCATGCAGTATTTATGAATAAAACCCGGGAAGCGCACAGCGGCCGCAACAAAAGGGACGGAAGCGTCGCTTTTCTTCGGGAAAGCAGGACACCCAATGGGATTCATCCATCACCGGCGATATAATTGAGAAAGCAGATCGCCTGCATTCAGGATTTACATTTTCAGCACCGTCGCTGAAACTCAATTTATCCGTTTATCCGCGCGTCCTTCGGCTGGATGGACAAGCGAGGTAATACACTTCCGAGTCATTAACGGGAGTCTTACTTTGTGTCCTGCTGATGTCGTGAATTTTTTCATAAATTGTTCGGCTGCACCGTTTCATCGTCCAAATTGTCACGCTTATCAGCTTACATTTTGTGCGGTCTACAAGATGGAAATGCATGATATTTTCGGAACCAAACTGATGTGACTCTATTAACGATGTTATCATGCATGACGTTAATCCGCGCGGGAATAGTCACCTGGATATATTCATATCCTAGCGGCGAAAAAATGTGAATTATTGTAAAATATTATTTCGTATGAATATTGTATAATATATTTTCTGTCTTTTTTAATAACTATTTTTTTACGTACCTTTAAATATGCAATTTCATCGAAAATTCGCAATAAAAAGCTTTACTTTTTAAAAATATTGTTATGTATACATATAAATTACAAAAAATACTAAATTTTAATAAATATTTATTTGAACAGTTCTAAGTAAATATTTACTAAATACTAAATACTAAATAATGTGAACATATATTTATTTAATACAAAAACCATTAATTTGGTGTCACATTTTTTTTTTATTGAATAGATATTTATGTACTGTAAATAAACATTTACTTACTACTATTCTTACTATATAAAGAAATATGTATTAAGATTTAGTAATTTTTTTCAGGATATTTAACGTACTTATTCCGTTTAATATTTGTTTGGTTTCTCCTTACTTTTTTCAAAAAGTTCTGATCAAACTCACAATATTCTCAAATATTGTACTACACTGAGAGAAAAATACGTTAATTATTAAATAAATATTTGTTTATAAATAGTCAGTTTTGAATATCTACTAAAGGTAAACATATATTTATTCGATACAAAAACCATTAGTTAGATGACCAAACCATAAGTTATTATTTTTTTTTATTTACCAAATATTTACTTTTCCTTAATAAACGTTATAGTACAAAAAAT